GGAGAGATGAGAGCAAAACAGTTGTCTGTAAGAGGCTTGCTGGTTTTATCTGCTCTTCACATGTTGTCGAGGTGTAACCCCAGCCAACAACTAAGCTCACTCCCCTACCAGCAGGAGTTGAAGTCAAAAAACTTTCTATGCATGCAAGCAAAATAAAACAAGGACTTAATTCACTAATTTTTTCAGTGTCACTTTTATAACCCCAGCCAGCAACTAAGCACCAGGCAGCTGCTCACTCTCTCCCCTACCGGCTGGTCTGGGGAGAAAACTGGAAGAGTTGAAGTGAAAAATCTTGTGGGTTGAGAGAAACATGATTTAGCAGGTAAACCAAAAGCCACACATGCAAGCAAAGTAAAACAAGGAATTATTTCATTGGTTTTTTTCAACATCAGTTTTTCAGTGTTTGTAATAGCAAAGCCAACACCTCTGGTCATGTTTTGTAGTGCCCTTTGTTATTACATTTAAATGAAGTTTTTGTTTTTAATACAGGAAAACATATTCTCATAAAACTGAAACTGAAATCCTTTCTTGATTCCTGGAACTGTAATTGAAACTTCTTTCATAGATAAACTAATTAGGTGGTGGTACAGCAACCTGTGAGCTTTAACCTTTCTGTACTCAGAGAATTGCAAGGGAGTGCTGTCTGAGGACAGCACATGCACCTCTCGCATCTCCAATTGATCCTGTAAAGGACAAGAATACTGGAATTACTTCATCTGGTGAACTTTCTTTTAGTTCTTGAAAGCTGTAGCATGAAAGCTACAAAAAAAAAAAGCTTGAAAGCTGTTGTCTGTGCAGTCAACCTTAAGGTGATTATTCTGGGTTACCATTCCATCAAGTCTGGCAGGTGCATTAACAGGATGTGGTGGAACACTGCCTGAACCATGAAGTGAGTGTGTGAGGAGGAGCAGCAGAATCCATCACTTGCTGTATTCAGTTATTTTTGAGCCTTTGTAGCAGATGTTAGCAAGACCTGAGACCAGCATTTGCCATGGAGTAGAGTCAAGGCTGTTCTTTTGCCAACAGCCAAGAGAATAATCCTTGTTTGAGCTTCAGTCTGCCCCAAAATGAAGGGACTTCAAACATCAGAATCTGGTCCATATTCCAGGATGAAAACCTGGGCTGTTCAGGGCAAGCTGGCAAAGCCTAAGCACTGGGCAGCCCCACACCCATCTGCATGGTCTCGCCTAGTGCCTGTCACTGTGTCTGCAGGTGGGGGAAATCTCATCCCTGATCTTTGCTGCAAAGTCTTTTGTGTTTGTATGAGGCCAGTTGGGATCCCTCTGCAGCATCCTCTGCCATTTTTGGTAGCAGCAGTTTGACTGGTACCCAAGCCAGGCTTTAATCATCAACCAGAGGTTGTTCTGCAAGACAACGCCCTGCAGAGTAACAGGGTGCAGGGTCAGTGCTGTTGCCCTTGACTGGAAGAGAGCACCGCTCGGACATAGAGGTTCCCTGCTCAGACGCGGTGGCCCGTCTTCCTCGGTGGCAGGACCACATTTTCCATCCAACAGGTGATTTTGGCAACATCCTCGGGAGCGGAGCCACGAGCGGAGGGGAGAGACAGGACGGGACAGTTCCCGGGCAGAGATGGCAGTGAGCCCGGGAAGGATCGTGCCCTTCTGGCCTCCCCGGGGTGTGCCCGGCCCCTCTCTATTTAGAGCGGGTCGGCAGCGCGGTGGCAGAAGCAGCGGGACAGGGGCGAGGATGAGCGGAGCTCGGGGGATGCGAGCGGGCGTCTGCCAGCAGGATGCGGCCCCGTCAGGGACCGGCGGCGGGCGCGGCTCTGGCGAGCGGCTGGAGGTGCCTGGAGCCTAAGGACGGGCTGGGCACCGCGGGCACCCCCGGGGACCTGCGTCCCGCCAGCGGAGCGGGACTGGCCGCGACACAAGCCGAGCCCCGAAAGGAGCGCGGGCGGGACGGGAGCGCGGCGACCGGGCGGCGGCGGGGGGAGCCGAGGACGGCGGCGGGGCTGGAGGCCGATCCGGCCCGACCTCACCCTTCGTCTCACGCTTCGGGGGAGCGGCGGCCCTTCCGTACCTTGTCCTGCGCCAGCGGGCGGGAGCGGCCGCCCCGAGCCGGGTGCGGCGCGGAGGGGCCGCCGCTCCGGCATCTCATGCCCTCGGTTCCGCAGGCTCCCAGGATGGCGAGTGGCAAGCAGGATCCCAAACCTGGGGACCTGATCGAGATCAAGCGACCACTTTATGAACACTGGGCCCTCTACTTGGAGGATGAGTATGTCATCCACGTGACGTGCGAAGGTAAGGCTGATGCAGCCTGGCAGGGTGTAGAGCATACCCCCAGGAGCCCTGTCTCCCTCTGTGGGCTGCTGGTGGACCGAAACTGTGTGTGATGGCCTTTCCGTGAGCAGCCAGAAACCCATCTGAGGTCTTGGAGGGGCCAGACAGGTTCTGCCGGACTTATCTCCTTCCTGCTTTCCCCCAGATAAAGGGATCCAACGCCTTTCCCCCAGCGGTGTGGCAATAGTGGCCAAAACGGCCAAGGTGAAGAAGCAGCTCCTAAAGGAGGTGGTGGGAGATAATGACTGGGAGGTCAACAACAAGTATGACCGCTCCCGCACTCCCCTCCCAGTGGAGGAGATCATCCGGCGTGCTAAGAGTTACATTGACATGGAGGTGACCTATAAAGTGCTTGGCAAAAACTGTGAGCACTTTGTGACAATGCTCCGCTATGGTGAGAGTGTCTCTGACCAGGTAAGTAACACGAGATGTGTTGTGCACCTCACACAGCACCTCCTTGCTGCTCCCTCTGAGCCCCTGGACAGGGACACAGCCCACAGACTGTCTGGGGACAGCCAAGTCCCAGGTGTGGGGTCCAAACCAGCACTGCCTCTGGCCTCACCAGAGACTCTGCAGCAGGAGGGTCACTGTGATCTGTCTGCACCCTGACAGTGCCCTCCTACTGAATACCACAGCCTAAGGATAAAACCTTGAGTGTTACCCCTCCTGGTTATGGAGTAGATGTCTCTCATTCTTTTAATTGCCCTGATTATCCCTGCCTGCTCTTTGTTGGCATGCTTGGGTGTAAATATAATAGCTTCTTTTATTTCCAGCCTGTGTTTTCCTTTCCCTTTGCAGGCCAGGAGTGCAATTGAAGAGATGAAGGATGTCACTTATCAAGCAGTCAGTGTTCTAATTGGTGGTAGTGGGGTTGTAGCTCTGACTGCTGTTGGTGTTGCTCCTGCTGCTGCTGTTGGTGTTGCTGTTGGTGCTGCTACTGTTGGTACTGCTTTGGGTGCGGTAATTTCGAAGGCCTTCTTGAAACCCGGGAAAAAGTGAAAGAGCAACTGATGGGCCATTTGAAAGACCTCCAAGCAAGGCAGGGAGCCCCTGGCTGTGGGTGGTCATTCCCC